AAATCGTTCTCTGTTGACAGAATTAATTACCTTATTCGATTTATCGAGAATTCAGAAGGAGAGGAATTAAGCGGTTGTGTTTCTCGTGTGTATTACAGTTGATTTTATTTAACACAAAGTATCGCTCGAAAACAGGTTTTTTTCGGTGTTCTTACAATCACATCGAAAACTGTATCTAGGTGACGTCCGGTTTCGTTGGGTCGTTTTCTCATCCGAGGCCCGTATCGAGTATTTTCGGCATTCACCGTAGAAAGCAACGGGACCCTCGTTTCGCATCGTGGATTCTTTCACGTACAAAATTCACTGTGAAACGGATCGCACGCGAAGCTGAAAAAAAATGATTGACGAGTGACGTCAATAAAAAAAAAAAAAAAAAAAAGAAAAAATTGCGCCTTCCGCGATCGTTTAGCGGAAAAAAGGGCAAATAATGGCGGACGTAAAACGAGCGCTGTGTTTGTTTTAATTACTCGTAAATTAAAAACTAAGCATCTAGAGTCAAATCTCCGTGTAAATGGCCAAGAGATGTATATCAATTTTTAAGTTGAAAAATTTCACATGTTCAGAATTTATTTGCAAAATTATATTTCAAAGACGTGCGATATTTCGTTGAAAAAGATACGAACAAAACGCATCGACGTAAATTAGTGTGGAACAATATTATCTTCATCGTTCCACTTGGCGAAGCCTTTGCCTTCTTCTTTCTGAAGGAACAAAAACCGCAAAATAAAACCAGAACGTCATCTGATACGGCAATAGATACGGTTTAATGATTTTCTTTAATAATACTCCGGACGAAGCAAATTGATATCTAATGAAGTGTAAATATCGCGTAATTTATTGCAGAACAAAGTCATTTTCAAAAATCTATTATATTAGTTATTTTCAAAAATCTATTATATTTTCGGTTTTACTTATCTGTACACACATATAATTGTTCAACTACTGTTCATTTGCGGTATTCAATGGAATCCAATTTAATGATATTAACAATTAAAGTGTGTAACGTGTATATTGGGTCATTAAGTATTAAATTTAATATATATATATATATATATATATGTATATATGATCTAATATTTCTAACTTAAATAAAAGTAAATGGATGTACGTAATTTATTTGTCAAAAATAAAGAGAACGGAATGGAATTATCCAATTAATTGATTTAAAATTATACAACATTTGTGTGCATTTTATTACAAGCATTTCAATGAGAATCAATATTTGTGTAGTTAGTAAACAATAATAAACAGATTTGACTCCGCGACCGCGTTTTCCTCAAACGATTTTAATTGAATATTTGACTTGGAATATCGTCAACGACTTTATCAAGCGTTAAAGGAAGACAAACACTCTGCGTCTCTGTTTCAACGAAACAATCGATTCTCTTCGAGAGCGAGTTTGATATAGATAACTTATCGTGCATTCACAATGCAAACGAGACTTTAGTCAATTAACGCATCAATTTAAACTTCGTCAACCATTAGCCGATTTTCCCCGACTAGAGAGAGACTGACGAGACCGACTTCGCGCGAGAACTTGATGTAATAGATTATCTGTATTCTGTTTGATGACTATGATTCTGTAATGCCAAGTCTTTCTGTGTGTGTGTGTACACACGCTTGATTCTGCAACGGGACGCCGGCAGCACGCAAATATCAGCAAAACTAGATTGCGCAAAGTGTTTGCCGATATAAACATATTAGCGAGAGTCAAATAGATGTGATGTGATATATTGAATATTGAGAGGAGCTGTGTGAGAAAATTATATACCGCGCGTTTTCTCACAAAATACACACACGCGCGTGTGTGTGTAAAAAAAAACTTATAAATAAAATAAATAAAATAACGGGGTGTTTCATACTTTTTTTTTTTTTTTTTTTTTTTCATTTAAATTGGTTCAAATTAAATTCGAATTGACGGATCTGGAACACGTCGAATGTGCGTCATTGTTAAACCTGTCAGTCGCCGTATAACGTGCATTTCAAACAAGAATTAAAAAAAAACGTGTAACAGCGAGACAAAAACTTTGGTATAATTGACTAAAACGGAGTTACGTCAAAAAATATAAATAATTATGATTTATCAATACTTTTATTCTCTCGATATCACGGCGATTTTTCAATATACGCTTGTATGTCGCGTTTGAAACAACATAGAGAAGAACGTGAGAAGAAAGTTTGGTGTCATCTTGGAAAACGCGCTATCGATCTGTTCGAAATTGGAGACACACCTGACCTGAAAAAGAGAGAGAGAGAGAAAGAGAGAGAGTGATCAGAAATAAAACCGTCCGCAGGACGGGAAGCATCATTCTCCGCGTTCGAAAAAGACGAAGAAAATAAAATACAAATCGAATTACGCAACTGATCATCCCGCGAGATTTGAATATATTCTGCAATACGCGAGAGACGTGTGACGAAAACGCGTCGAGAAATTTGTGGAAGCGTAAAGGTTTCTTTCCGAACGTTTCGGAATAAATCTAAAAAGAGAAAACCGGGCGAACGTTCCACGCCGGGATATATGTGGCATTTGTTTCCGAATTCAAATTATGTTGCGGTGAATAAATTAACAGAGAAACAAACAGAGAGAGAGAGAGAGAGAGAGAAAGAGAGAAAAAGTGAGAACAGGGGGAGCCAACATTGCCATTCTCAGAAAGTAAACACATGTAACACATATTTCTCATTGTGTGCGTTTTCGCAATCGTTATTCGATATAATTACACCGTAGGAAATTGTTAATTACGTCCCGATTGTTATTGTCGCGACGGCAATTAACCACAACGTCGAGAAAAAAAAAACATTAATTACATCTGCAACAATGCAGCTCGGCCGAGTGCAAAAATTTACATTTTACACTGTTTTTTTGTTTACTTTTTTTTTTTTTTTTTTTGTAATCAAGCAAAACCCTTGTGCATCGACGTTTGCTTCTGCTTACATCCTCACTTTTTTTTCGCAATTTCAAACAATGAAAAGCCGCGAGAAAAAAGAGGAAAAATCTTGTCGGAAGACGCCGATAATTGAAGAGAAAAAAAATTGACGAGTTGATACATTGTCGATAGAAATGTTTTCTCTCCATTTTTGTTATTTTCAGATACATACGCGATTAGAGTTAACGTTTGTTACACCTCTAATTGAAATGATCATTAACTCGAATAATTATCAAAACAAAAGATTGATCAAACGAAAACCGTGTGGCTTCTAATCGCAATAAGACGGACGCTGTTTCAGAAAAATGTAAATAAGAATTTACGGAGACTAAGCGATCGGTAAACGCGTCGGCGCAACTGCAAATTTTTCTCGCGATTTCACTTTCTCCTATGTGGCATAATTGCGCGTGTTACGAATCGTAATGCGCGCGGATTCCGCTTCCCCCGATCATGCGACGCAATCGTCGCTCGATTCGTGTTTCAACAATGCAAGACCTGCACACGTCTCCTCACACGCGCGGCTCTAACGCGGCACGCACGTTACACGCGCATTTTCATCGACACGTCGACGGAACGTCGCGTAACGATTACCTCTTGCATCATTTCGCGGCGAGAGATAACGCGACGAGTTTTTTTTTTTTTTTATCGAGAAAAATCACGTAGATAATACCGGAATAATTTCCAACTCTTCCCGCAATTAAAACAGTCGTTTGCAAATCACGACGCGATTCAAATTAATAGACATTTTAAATTTTATCGAATTAGGTTAAATTTGAAAGTTTGGGAAATTTGAAACTTTTCTTCATTTTGCGGCAAGTCGATAGTTCGTTCCGCGTGGGTGTAATTGTGTAAAGTGGAATTTCAAGTTCTGGAAAAGAAAATTTTTTGCGTCGCGAAACGCACGACAGAGAGTTTAAAGCGCGCAATAAAGCACAAAGTTGCGCCGTTTTGTATTTCACGTTCTAAATCTAAATCTCTCTTCGTTTTGTGTTGCGCGCATTCACGTGGGAGATTGCATTATCGTAAATATTTATAAATTATATTTTTAAAACGTTCACCACTTACGTGGCCCTTTTTTATCTGACAAAACAGTCGGGAATTCCTGAAACGTCAAAAAAATTAAATAACAAGCAACGGCGCGCAAAATTCTTTGTTCAAATTCAGAGATCGCGAGCTGAAAGCTCGCCGCCGCGCGATAACCGCATTATTACCGCATTAAAAGCTATCACACTCGCTCGTGTTAGCTCGGTCAAAGTTTTATTTGAAATTTTAAGATAAGGTTAATCTCTATCTGAAATATCCGCGGAGATGACTTTAATGCAGCCCTTCGTCTGGAAAAAAAACGCACACTTCGCGAAGCGTAAAATATATTTTTATTGAAAAAATATCGTGGCAAAAATGTTGTGTGTGTGTGTGTATTATATTGCGGAGAGTAAGAGAAATAAATAACAACGAAAACTCCACAGCAAAATAATAAGTTGGTTTGCTCGTGCGCGGAAAGACACTCGCGACGGAGAAAAGTCGCCGGGAGAAATTACACGCGCGCGGATTACCAGCTGAAAAGTTCAGAGAATGTTTGTTTTACATCGTTTCACGGGCGAAGTTCGTAAATTTCGAAGCGGAAAAAAATTCATGTTTTGTTTTGAATGCATTGCGAGCAAATGTGAAAAAAGACGTGTGAACAACATTTGACATCGGGAATATAATGTTCTTACTTACATACTACTATGTGATTTCTGTTTCTCGCGATGTTGTTTCGCGCAATTTTGTTTGGAATTTTCGTCAATGGACGGTGAAATCGTCTGTTTAATAGACGCAGAGATGCGTCTCGAACACATTTAATTGATTTAATGACAAACTTCGTAATGAGTGATTTTCGAACGTGTGAGAAAAAAATGCGAGAAAACACAGAAGATACTCGAGCGCTGTTTCAGTTTAATATTTAAAAAATAAGCGGCGAACAATGTTTCTTTCTGATATGTACATTTTTTTTATATAGATATATTATAACATATGTGTAACAATAATTGCTATCAAAATATACATTTCACGATATATATGGCACAGAAGGTTATTGAAGATCAAACGAACACAACGAAAAGTGAATGCGATATCAATTTTTCTCTAAATTTTCAAAAATCAACTCGCTCGGAAACTAAAACTTCGCGCACGAAAAAAATGTTTATCTTATATTTTCAACTTTCTGCACAAAGAATCCATTTTCTCGATTGCGTTACTTGTCCTACCTCACACTCTCTCTCTGTATACATTTATACGTGTAACATATTTTCTATCGTTTCCGTGTGTGTTGCGTTCTTTACTTCAGAGAAACGTACTCGGTGCTGTCGTTTGATTTGTTTGTCTGTGGCTGTTGCCGATTGAAATTCTTCATTTCTATTTTCGTTATCACCGCCGTGTTGTTGGTGGTAACTTTTGAAGTTGTTTTCGGGAAAAACCTGTTCTTCCAGAAACGCGAGAACTGAGCGTTCATGCTCGCGTATATGATTGGGTTGTAGCAGATGGAGGACTTCGCTAAAAGTGCGGGCACCACCGCCACAGAACTGGAAATCTGTACCTGAAATAAACGTGCGAGTCATTCCTTTGAAGGTTTTTGCAATCTCCCTTTCAAAATAAAAGCGAGGTGAAATTAATCGAAGTTGTTGGCGTATCAATCAGTGAATTCTCACATGATGTTACCCGTGTATATGACCGAAGTCGATCGTCAAAAGATTAAAACTCTTTGATCTCGAGATTGAAAGAGGTTTGCTCTTTAAAATTACGTGCGTAAACTTTTTGTTTATTTGCTTTATGAATATGTAATACGGTACATCTGAAGCTTACGAATTGTGGAACAATTTGCAAAATAAAAAATCAACAATGATATTCAAGTAAAATAATGTAAGTTGAAGTAAAATGTCAATTTGGAAACAAGTGCCGATAAATAATGTGATTTGGAACACTTAATTAAACTGGCTTTGACGACAGCAATTTTTTTTTTGCAATAATCTCTTCGTAACGAGAGAGATACTCACGTAAAAATACTGAGACGCGAGCGCAAAGATGGCATAGGGCGTCCAGGCGATTAGAAAAGCGGTGATCATCAGATAAACCATCTGCGTGATTTTTGTTTCTCGTCTGTTGGTCGACTCTGGAACGAGAGAAGAGCGATTAATCGAAAACATATTCGGACATGAATAATTTGCATTGTTGCACATATAAAAAAAAAAAACAAAATACAAGAGATTTGTTCGAACAACATCTCAAGATCTGATCGAAAAAAATTTGCACAAAGAACAAGTGAAATTATATATATACGTAATTCACAGCGTGCGCAATTAACGTGATGTAAGTGTTTTAACAGAAACTTACTAAGCCGTTTTCTTATTGACTTCATAGTTCCTATCATGCCGCAGTAGCTAAAGGAAATTAGCGTGATGGGAAGGAAGAACCCAAAAACGAATAAAAATCCGATATAAGTGTCGTTGTGCGTTTTTGGATCGTGTTGATTCCAGGACACGCTGCAGGATATGTTCCCTGCTTCAAAGCCGTACACCCCCCAATTGAAAAAGGGCGGTATTGATAAGCAGAACGCGTATATCCAAACCAAAAATATTACTAGATAAGCGTTCCTATAAAAAAATTTAGAGAGATAAGTAGTATATTTCACAACATATAGAACAGCGCTTATGTAATTATGTCAAAATAATATACATATATATATCATACACGTATAAAACATATATATTTACGAGAACATGTGGTGTATGTTGAAACTTTTTGCGTTGAATACAATTCATTAAATAAAATCATTATTTAACATGTAGCATTTGTTGCCAAAAGAAGGTCAACTCGAACAATAGAATTGAAAAGAAAAAACTAAAATCGCATAATTTTCGTATAACACGGTGAATTTCACGTGTTATACTTCGTTTGTATATAAAAATTGAAATGCTAAAAAAAAAACACGAGAACTCACACACATTTTATAGAAATGTGTTTGCTAATAAAAATATGTTGTGCGCATAACATTGCGGAAAAGAGAGAGAGAGAGAGAGAGAGACAGAGAGAGACAGAGACAGAGAAACAGATTATGTAATATCAATGAAATTTATTTACTTAGAAAAGAGATGACACTCGGTGCGATAATGCACGTGTTTACGATAATGTAAAATCAATATTAACGACGGTCACAGTTTTAATTATGACGTGACTGTTAAATCACCAATTCCGGATAATGAAATTTACTCAAATAATAACAACTGGTCGATTTATATACTCGTTGAAAATTGGAACAGAATGATTGAGAACACTATTATTAGCTTTGGACAGGAGATATGTTGACATTTGTGTTCGGAGATAACTCAAGATGGGGAAGTTGAACAGTATCATAACGCATTTTTTTCGAAAATTTGACGTCAGAAAGACAATTGATTTAATACTTTTTCGAGGCGAATATATATTACCGCGTCTCTGCTGACAAGAAAACGGACCATTTTATCTCGCGGTTTGTATTCTGCGTTCGTTCTGTATTAAAAGCGAATAAGTTTTCAATTTGTTCTGCGATAGATTTTCAGATTAAAGTCGATAATTGCGTATAATTACCGAGTGTGCTAATCTCGTGATGTGTGTGTGTGTGTGTGTGGGCGCGGAGACGCGATGAAAAAAAAAAAAAAAAAAAACAATTTATTTGACGTCGCAAAAATAAATTTGTACATGAATTCTCTCGTTTTTGACGTTGTAACGTTGTAATTATTTACCGACGACTGCCGATGTAACGGATCAGGAAACTCGTTAGCACAATGTTTAATTCATTAGTTAGAAATAACGGATTTATTAGTTTAAGCGGCTTATAAGTCCCGTTTGATTTTGTTCTTTCGATTACTATCACTTTCATTATTAGTAGAACAAAGGGTTTGTTATTAAAGCGGATTAAAAATGGCTGTTTGGTTCTCTTACGACTACCGGCACCGTCTCTAAATATAAATCCCATCAATGTGGACAAGGAGCTCATCTTTAATCCATCGTTAATTGCACGAATTAATGGAATATAATAAAGGACTTTGAGACGAGACGGGACGACTACATTGCGCATTTTTTTCTGTGATAAAAAACGCATCATAAAGATATAAATCCGCGATGATGTCTTTCAGGTAGAAGGCGGAGTAACGATGCAATAATTTCGCAATTTTCTCGGAAGATAACGTTCGCTCAAACATTGGCTCTCGCGTGAAACTTACATGTAAATGCATTTTATGTGTTTTTTCATGGGAAGAAAAAAAAAAGAAAATTCCTGACACGATACGTGTCGCGCGCCGCTAAATACTTCGCGCTAACGGTCGTCTTGTTTCAAATATTATCCCTCTCGCGCAATATAAAAGACAGAAAAAGAATCTGATAAAATCACGTAATTGAAATTCACTCGCAAGTCAGTGCAAATTATACCTCGCGGGAAGTGTTAATGACCAACGTCTCGACGCGAACGTTGATGAGTAACATTGCTCTTCCCGGAGACCGTTGCGATGAAAGTGCGCGATGGAAAGTGCGCGTGGAATGCGCGTAAATTAACCATTTCGACGCGCACGCGCGCGTATGCGTTTGAATATCGTAATAGTTGCGTCGACAAAATCAGAAAAAATTTTGTTCAAAAATGAAATTTCGCGATAACAACCGGTGTGTGTTGTTTTCATTGACGACACACATTTCTCTCTCTTTCTCTTTTTCTCTCTCTCTATCTCTCTCTCTCTATAATCCATCTGCTGTAATGCAGCAAAAACAATTTTCTCGCTACTGTCAAACAAGAGAGATAATCAGTACGTAATGAGATTACATGTGTATGTACGTATACACATATGAAAAAGATGTGCTTTTACCTCTTTGATAATGATTTCATTGGAAATTTAACCAGTAGATATCTCTCCATTGCCATCACCGTTAAATTTCCGATACTGGCGAATCCCATGGTGGACATGAACCACGCGTACCTAAAAAATTACACGGTCTATTTTGTTTTTTCACGGAAGTACATATATATATAATACACGAATCGCGCATGCGAATCGAGTAGAATTATCTGAATAAATCTTTATGCGTTTTTACATACCTATTATTTACACGAATGTGCGTGATTCACATATTTTGTTTATTATTAACTAAAAAAAATACTTTATATACGTCTCCACAAGTTTGTCACTATTATTTATATCTACATTGTTTCTTTTTGTCCCGGATGTTTTTTTTTAAATAAATAAATTTCAGTCGGCGTGCAAAACAGTTAACAGTTTTACGCGTTATTTATTTTTTTGTTTTAATTTTTTTTTTTTTCACGACGCAAAATTTCAATAGACATATTTCGCGCGAACCAGTTTTATTATTATGAGAGATAAAGATTTGATAAACACATCCTAAAAGTTCTCTATTATCTACTTATGTATTAAATAACGATATACCACAGACACATTTTGTCACTCCAATACCATGCACCTGAGATCGCTGACATCATTGAGACGGGATTTCCCAGTATAGCCACTAAAAGATCTCCAACCTGTTGATAAAGAAAACACATCGACACATTAAAACGAAAACACACATCTGAAGTTTGTAATATTATAAATTGAAGTTTATACAATATTCAAGTAACATAAAATATTTTATTCTATCGTGTCAAACGTTATTTTTTTCACCATCTTGGAAAAAAGATGAATGATTAATTTTATTAATTTAATCAATTTAATTTGTCTTCAAATTTACAGGTTGTGCAGTGCGTACACTTCTCTAATTTATTTTTTACTCAAATAAACAAGTTAATATAAAAAAAAAATAAAATAAAATAGAGTAGAGTTTGATACACGAAAAGCGTTTTAGTTTGATTGCATTGCGAGACATTGGCCAATCTGGTTTGTGCACATTCCCCCGGTGACGCTCATACATATAACTACAATTCTCAGCTCAAGATGTGTAGCGAAACAAATGGTGAAAGTTATTGCACAAATGCCAATGAATACAAATCGAGATCGACTGTGGTCCAATTAAGCTTACAAGAGAAGCGCGCGAATATTAATCGCAAATGGGTCTATATTACATTATGCAACATTATGTTGCATTACATTATATCGCAAAAAGATTTTGGCCGCATAGAATCCGACTGTGTAACGGCGCTTGAATAGCATCTCTCGAGAGCGCAATAAAAAGGTACACAGCTATTTAGACTTTTTGAAAATCTCAGTTCATTATCACGTTCAAAATGACGTGAAAAATGTGAAAGAGAATAAAAAAAAGAAGGGAAAATTGAATGAAATATATTTTTGCTTTTTTCTATATTTTTATTTAAAAGAAAATAAAATAAAAAAACACTTTCAATTGAAATCAATGGCCGTAAATTTTTTTTACGCAATTTGTTTGTTTATTCTAAACTTATCAAAATGTAAAATTCTGTATTTTAATTGTACGCAACGTAACTTAATAATAAACTTAATAATATTGCTGCGATTGTTTCATTATGGCGGTGATTAATCGTTACATGAATATTATTTTAAGAGATTTCTTTTGTAACACACACGTGAAAAAAAAAGAAAAAAGAGAGAGCCTTAGTTAAATAAAAATAAATTGCGTGCATCATATGCAAAATTGGCATGCTTTGATCACGTTAATTCGCGAGTAGCGCGGCGGAGAAATTGATTCATTTCGTACTGTTTGAAAGATGACAAAATGAGAATTTATCGTAGTAATTTGAATTATTATTTCATTTTTACAATAGCCAGATACGAAGCGATGCGCTTTTGTGCGAATATATCGAGGCACGTGCGTAACTCGAAACACACAGCACATTTTAAATGAACAACACAATAAACAACGTATGAATAATGTATAAGATACATATATGACTGCTCTTACAAGATTTTTTTGTGTGTGTTTTAGACTTTCGTGGAAAATACACACGAGAAAAAGACACCAATAAAGTGAAAATATAATTTTTTTATTTTTTTTCATATTAATTACAAACTTATTAAAAACTTTTTTCATATTAATTACAGAATTATTGAAGAGAATTTTTCAGATATCAAATTTCTCTCGCGAGTGTTTGACAAGTTACTTGAAAAACTTTTTTATCATTGTTAGGTTTTATTATCTCTTTTTATTTGATTATTCAACGAGCTTTAAACATATAATTTATTATTGTTGTTGTTATATATTATGATTATTACAAACAATGCAAATCTCGAATTCTTCGAAAACAACACGACGATACTCACGACCATGTTGACGAGGACCATGTTATTGGGCGTCCAGAGTACATTTGCGTTTATGACAACCGTCAATATGACCAGTAAGTTCAGACTGAAGCCGAAGAACCCGATGAAGCCCAGTGCGATCGCCGCTAAGATGTAAACACTGGGCGCCATTTCTTCGACGGCGAGAACGTCGTCCGGCAGATTGCTCGTGTTCAAGAACATTACTTCTTCCGGTGGTCACCGAACTCTACAAGGTCTCTCTTTTATGTCGTGGTCGAAACTAAGCTCGACCAGCGGCGGAATTAACGTCCGTCGATGATTCACGTCACGCTCGCTCGTGAATAAATTCGACAGACACGAGGAGCGGCAGAAAACACGGCAAATCCGTCCCGGTCGCATTAATCAAAACCAGTGGCGAAATTTCAAAGGCACACTACCCTTATATAAAGAACGGGTGCGAGTCGCCTCTGCTACACATTTCCCCGACTACCCGGCGGACAAGCAACCCCCCCAAGCGCGCAAAAAGCAGCATGCGCGCGAACCGACGCGTCTCTCTGTCAAGTGCGCTCCGCTCGTCGCGGAGGGTTGCGTCGAGACGCACTCATCTTTTTGCTTCTTTTTTTGTTTTGCGTACGTAATAAAACGTAAATCAATCCTCGACACGCGACGCATATAAATAAATCTCCCGTGGTGTTCGACCTTACATTTTTTTTTCACCGCCTTTCAATCGATTGGGTTTAATGATGACTGACTCCTCATTATCTCGCTCGTTCCGGCCTCAATTATTTGATAAAATAAAATCAAGAAAAAAACGTCTTATTAAACGTTGAAGTTCTGTTCCTTTAATTAAACGTTTAAAAGATGTTTGCGCTTCACGCCCGGTTGCGGTCCAGAGTTTGATCGAAGTCCGTGTGTACGTATTCAGTAAACTGTGTTTGCTCTTGAAGCGAAGAAAACGGCTCGCTCGAATCACGTTTACGGTCAAACGATCTCTCGTCTATCGATTTTCGGGTTGATCTTCGATATCTCGACCGATCGGAGCGGAGACGAAATCTCGAAAGTCGCGTTTACACGTCGTCTGGTCTTGCGCGTACTCAAACTCAAATAAAATCGTCTTCTCTCATCGTCTTTTTCTGCTCCGCGAGTAAAGTCCGATTAAGTCGGTTTATCGCCGTTACTGCGCAGCGCTATCGATAATTGCGCGTATCCAGATGAAATTCTATCCGGACGGAATTCTATAGGAAGTGCGCGTCAAGTTACCGGGCACGGTATCATTTGGCGAGGTAATTATTCTTTCTTTTTCCTGCGGAAACGCAATAAGGTTTATTGATATATCTCGCGCGTCTCGATCGAGTTCGCAATGTTTTGCCGAGAAATATATGTTCATCCGGGGAAGCTTTCTATGTTTCCACTTTCTCTTTCGTTCGTCGTGAGAATTTAATTTCGATAATTTTTAAACAGCAAGAAGCAACAAAAGCCAATGCAAGAAGCAAAACGATGTAATAATTCGCGCGCTCTCTCACACGAATATATTTACATATTAATTAAATATTATAATATATTTATAATATTATATTTTTATTTATAATTTTTCAATAGGCGCAATTGTAAGAATATAAAAAAACGAATTTCAGTACGGTAATTTAAATTTCACTGTTATATGTGAAAATTAAAAAAAAATTTTTTTAATTGAACATTTTTTTTTTAAATCAAAAGAAAAAATCTTGTGTTTAATTTGAACAATAGCACGTGATTAAAAATGCGAGTCAATATTTATAATCGACTTAGTATACACACAGGCCTTTCTGAGAAAATTCAAAACTGTTATTTTTTAATTACTTATTTAATTCGCGTTTCCAAAAAGTCAACAGAATTCTCAGAATTATTTATTAAATATAAACCTACGCAGATTTAATATCAAACGCACGCGTAAAAAAAAAACCAATTAAAATAAATCGACAAAAATAAATCCACGAATATCCGCTTGAGATATAGTTATTTGCGCGTTTTGTTTGTCCAATGTTTCGAAAAATTTCAAAGTAAAAGTTTATAAAAGCTAACTCGTTATACTTTGTAACGATTGTGCTTTTTCAGCGAGAGAATAATCTGATTATTATATAAGCACGTATATAAGTATCAGAGACAAATTAATGCAATAGTATCAAATTGTTGTTTGTCTATTTTTTTTTGTTTTTTTTTTTTTGACGGACACGGTAAAATTTTTGGGAGAATGTTTCAAGCGCTTTACAAATGTTTGCTTTTTTTTATTAAAATAATTAACAAAGATTAAACGTACATATGTTTGCACTTATTAATTCTGTATGTGTGTCTGCATATCATATACATATATATATATATATATATGTTTTGAAAGAAAGTTATTCATTGTCTGAAGATAAGCTGTCATACGATTGATAAATATCCGAATAAACGACAATAATGTCACATTGTTCTTGACAAGTTTCATCATTCGGAAGAACAATTGTCAAACGTTGACTCAATTATCGCGCGTGGGGTTTGCGCGACGACAGCTCGCCAAAATTGGTGCCACTTGCGCATCGATGATCTCGTCGTTGCTTCCACCATCTCTTTTCACCGAGTCATTTTTTCAGAAACAAATGAGAATCGCGCACGAGTCCGTGCATCTGCGAATAAAGCGAATGAGATGGCAATTCGAGACCGACTAACTCGTAAATTTTGACTACCGCAGGAATTGAAATGTGAACCGATGCGTCATCAAAAATCATGGAGAGCGTCTGTTCCGGCGAGCTATCACCACGTGCGGTAAGCACGAAGCGTTTGACATTGTTCCCAAGGATGATAAGCTCGTCAATGACAACGGCAATGTGTCGCACCGTTGCTGTCCAAGCGTCGTTTCAGATACTTTACTATCATCGCATCATAGTAATGCGCTTTTATACAAAATACGAGTATGTAAAAAATGTTCTTAAAAAAAAAAAAAACAATTTGAGTGCACGGGATTTCACCTTGTAACCATTTTTCTGCACGCACGCGAGAATTAAATGAAGCGCGAGAACGAACACATCCAAACGTTCTGCAACGTTTTTGTACACAAAAAGGGAATAGTCTTTATTTATTGTACTCGGTGTGTTTCAAAATTTTAAATCAGTGTACATATATTCAAGTAATTATATCGCTTGCAATACAAAGAATTTCAACGGCCCTGTTCATTTTACATGTCTTCGGTATCGCTGTCGGAATCCTCCGCCATTGCCTGCCGTGCCTTCGTCTCGGCTTCGGCCTTCAGTTCGGCCGGCACACGCTCGTGCCTGCCCTTGGTGTGCGCGCCAACCCAACTCATTTCCAATTCGAATTGCTTGTCCTTCAATTCGTCATGAACGAGATAAATAATACGAGCGGCCTCCTTTACCAAATCCTTGCACGTCATATCTGACAATTTCAATTTTTCTATTTCTGTTTTCGCCGACTGTTTTGCTTTACCTGCGAAACACAACATTGATTGCAAAATATTGGAATTTCTCTCTCGCAATTTCTTCAATTTGACTGGTTTCACTCACCCACCGCACAGCCGTAATAACCGTACGATACTCCTGACGGATCTATCATGTACAATGCCGGACCGTCTGATTCGTAGGCGCCGAGCAAAACGGAACAACCGTAGGGACGCACGGCCGAATAGAGCGTGTACGCGTGCATGTACAGAGATACCCTTTCGTTCAGATACTTCAACGGAATACCGACCCCGTACTGCGCTTTGTAACTGGACGCTTCCGATCTCGCGATCTCCGCTATCTGCCTCGCGTCCGATATTATGCCGGAGATCGCCATGCCAACGTGCTGATCTATGTTGAATATTCGCTTGTTGGCACCAGGCTCGTAAAGTTTTGACGTTACTATTTTTTCGACGGCGAACACCACGCCGTCCTTCCCTCGTAGGCCAATAACTGTTCTGTAACAAACAAAAAAAAACAAAATTGTAATATTTAAATAAAATTGTATGTCAGCATTTTTTTATGTTCTAATCAGAAAACACAAGATGCTCATGTGAGAAAGACAGAGACTCAAGTCGGACACAAACGCTTTTCCAGAGAAGCGAGTTTGACGGCATGAGATATATATATCTAACGACTCACCCTCCATTTTCCACGGCTTTTTGAGCGTATTCCACTTGAAACACGCGTCCGTCCGGCGAAAACTGCGAAGCGGACAGATCGTACTGGAAGAAAACGACGAGGTTAGGTCATATCAGCTGACATGTCACGGTTCCGCGATTGATTTTCGCGCTTAGAGACTTCGCGTATAACACGCGTATATATATACATACTCACCCCTGTGCCTATAGAACTCATTTCTCGGATAAGATGTGACAAAGGCGAAACTAATCGAATCGAGTACGAAAAATTTGTTTACACGTCCGCGACGACGTGAATCGGCGAAAATCAAACAACTATCTCAACAACGCCACAGTCAGCGCGACTGTCAGAATAGGTTGGTGTTTGCGTGAGAGCGCAACGTCCTCTAGCGGCGGATGTCGGTAACATTTAATTTAAATGGAAATCGAGTCATTGTCGATCGATTGATCGTTTACGCGCGCGTTTAAAGCTCTGTTTCTGCGTAAACAAAAATATTTGTTTTTTTTTTTTATATTTTATGAATCTGTGTTATTGGAACTAACCGATTTGCGCGCACTTGAATATATTTTTGCATGTCCGATCCAACGTCTCTTTTTATTAGTACGGTGGCTTCACAAACGTCTCTCCTCTCTGCACCTGAAGTTGCATTTTTCCGAAATATTATCGAGACATTGCTGATGCGACTGTTTTGCGTAAAAAAGCCATTTATTTACTTATCTGTTCGATATCAGTCACGTTCGTTATATATTTTGATTACACAATAGCAATATGATAAGTTTGTAGAAATTTGACGTGAAGTGGAACGAGCGCAAGTGTTGAACTGACATTTTAACCGATAATTCTGTTGAACAATGTTACGCAATGAATGTAACAAGATTATTCAAAGGAAATATACGTGCGCGTATATATTTTTATATTCAAATATAAGATCGGGAGATATCAATTACATTGAAAACGCAATCTGATTTTGCAACACAGATTCTTTATTTTATTTTCTTAACAATCACAAAGTACATATGTGTCATATATGTCGTTTAAATGTTCTGAAGTGTTTTTTGTTTTCAATAGAGAAAAAAGAAAGAACAACAATTAACGAAATGTACGTCGTGCAAAAACGTCGTCGTGGAAAATCGTCTACTTATCTTGTTTCGCTTCGCAAGAAATTATTTATATTCTCCTTTTTGCAGCTGTACTCCGGTGGACATTGCTCGGTGCTGCCGTACTCAATCGCCTTTCGAAATTCAGCGATCGTCTTGTCGTAATTGTATTTTACGGGCAAGCTTCTGCAAAAATAAGAATTTTTTTAATTTTAAGCAAAACTCTAAATAATTCCTCAGTATTTTTTATCTCCAGCGTTTTTTTGTAAATATTTTAGAAACGATGTTTATATTTTGTTTAAAAATAACGTGAGATCATCGTTACATAAATGGCATATTTCCCGCGCATAAAATACAAGATATCTGATTATGAACACAATTTTTCGTATACTTCGCGTATATACGTACTGCGGCATTAGTTTCATTGTTTGCAATAACATTTCCGCCGCGCCGAGATATTCCTTCGCTATGTGCGGCTCCTCGCAAGCGGCTCTGTACAAACAGGTGTCGCCGATCAGATATCCAAGAGCTAACGTAAGCTCGCCCTCCGATACGATATTTTCTGGAATTAACAGAAAATCTCGCAATTATATATTTTCTTCTAGTAATTTTTTCAATAAATATTGTTACACCTTTGTATGATCAATCTGCAACGGAATATTCAATATATTATAAAATATATATATATATATATATATTTACTATAATATATAATACAATATATAATAACTATAATATTATAATATAGTAAAATTATTAATATTATAATGTAGTTATGATTATTATATATCAACTTTTGAGAGGACGTTGTCGAGAAACTTCTTGCCATCTTTAAAGAGTTAACGTATTTGTTCCAAAAAATAAACAATTGTCTGAAAGTGTAATACCGTCTTCTAAATCGCGTCCTTTGTAACCGTGATTTCCTATGTAGCCGGCGCCAAATACCACCGCTTTGAGCACCAAAAGCAGCAACAGATTTGAGAGATTTAAATTGAGCACCTGCGAGAAACGCGATTTACGATTACTTTTCATCGAGATTGATGATCCTGTGTTAGCAGTTAGAACAATTCAATAATGTTTTTAAATTAATACCTGGCTGCTGGTCGCCGATCTTTGCACGAGTTCCTTCGCGATCTCGGCCAACATCGAACCGGCGTACTTGTTATCGCCGGCTCTTTCGTGAGGACCTCGCTTTTCGGAGATGCGAGCGTGCGCGCCGCAGCTCACCAATGAGACGAGCAGAAGCACTCGCACGTAATTAATCGTCATTGTTCTCAACACGCGCGCGTAATTGCCGAATTATACGTTCTCCTCGACAACGAAAGTTAAATATCAAACAGTTGTTCAAAGTGCCATCTCGGTTTTTGATCAACGAAAACGAACACGCGGCGAAATTCCTTCGTTTCCTTTTTTTTTTTAAATCCGCGTTTTTAAAAAATAAAATTTTTATACTCTGCAAACAAGTTATAGAATTATTTTTTATTTTACAAATGTGCGCGCGCAATGTGTTTCGATTGAAGTATTCGCGGAAACGTTACTCGAATGTTTGAAGGCGAATTAACGTCGCCGCCGTTGCAGCCGCGTACTTTTATATCGGACGCTCGCGTTGCTCCCGCAACAAAGCGTGAAACCGTTTGTTCTTTTTTTTTTTTTTCTTTCTTTATCCGCGTCCATCTGAGCCCGAAGTTGGCGACCGTCATCTTCTCGATTTTCTCCATTGTGACGGTAGACCACGCAATTGTTAATGACACCCATTATTCGCTCTCCAATGCTCGTCCTCCCGCGCACTTTCCCGCGCAGGTTGACGGAAATAAGCGGTGAAAGTGGACAAACTTTTACCCGCGATAATAAAACGCCCCCCGATGTTCAATTAAACGCTGCGCCTGCGTGAAAACCCGCTCGAGAGCGCATTCGCAATTCCGACCGATTTTCATTTTCAATCTTCAATCAAACTCGCACATATGCGACTCGATTGATCACGCCAAAATTCAACAATCAATTGTCCGTGACAAATTTTCACAAAAAAAAAAAAAAAAAAAAAAACGTTGTTTCGCAAGTAAGCAAAAATTTGAAAAAAAAAAAAGAAATATGTCGCGCAGATTCTCGCGAGACTTCCGGAACGAACGAACGTTCAATCGGGAAGCGATCGGTCGTGCGAGTGCGAATTATCGATCGAAAGTCGGCGCGGAAACTTCGATTCGAGTTTCGTACCGGAAACTATATATAACTTCTATTATTTCTATAATTTTCGTATAACTCGCGTGTAACTCACGGCAGTTGATCCGCGTTACATTCGCGGAACCGTTCATTTTAGCAATTGTGGGCGGAATAATTGATAAACTCTTCGCATAAACGTGAATCGTCGTATATAATCATGGGGCTATAGACTGCTTCATCAAATATGCATCGACGGGAGCCTCTAGTTACCCGGACAATTCGATCAAGTTGCTCGAATATTCACCGACGAAACCAACCCCGGGGGAGGGGGAGGGAAGGGGGATGGGAAACGGAAAACCCGAGCCTATGACAAAAACGAGGAAAATATATCCCTCGAGTGTTTTCTGCATATTTAATGTGAGAGATCCGGCCTCTGCGTGGAGGCTCCCATTAATACTCGCGGCCTGTTATTTTGTCGTTTCGTCACGTTCCGCCTCCTCATCTTCTTTCCCGCAACGCTTCCCTCATTCCTTATTCATTCCGCTCGTCTTCGCGCGCACGCGCGAAACTTTTTTTTTATTTCGTTTATTTTCGAAAAATTTTTTTCGACGAGTAATAACACACGTCGAAAAGTTTCTCTCGCGACGTCAAAGTGCACGCGAAAACTCACAAAGTTAAGCATAAAAATGATAAATTATGAGACTTCGAACGCAAAATAATAACATGCAAATTATAATTGTATAAATTTTGTTACGATTTTTTTTTTTTTTTTCAATGAGATTTTCTTTTTTTTGGAGGGAAAGAGTTTTTTCACAGTTCGAAAGAGAACTTCTCTCTCGTGTAGTCAACGCGTGTAATTAATAATTTATTTCTATTTTGATGAAACATTTCAACATTGTGAGAAAAATATTTTATCTCCGTCGTAACTCACACGATAATCTTATTAAACAATCGTCTGGTTTGAAAATTGTTGCAAATCTCAAGATGTCCTCTTCGTCACGGAAATGAAAAACGACATATAAGTCAGCGATTTCTTCAGAACCTACGATCGATACGTGAGATCGATATCTCAGAAAAAAAGATCAACAATAAATGGCGATTCTAATTTTGGCAATAAAGAAGACGATTGATCGTGATTAATAAATTCGCGTAATACCTCGCTGTAGAGCTGGCGGTTGAACGAACAGAAACGTCCGGCGGTAATGTGCAATGGCGATCGAGCGCGGCGCATAATGATCATTAGCGATTTCGCCTCGCACGCTGACAAGTTGTACCAACTGCAGTCGTACGCCGCGTACGCTATTTCCGTGCTCTGGAACGTCAAGTTCAAACAATGCCAAAAGAAACACGAGTCTGAGTAGTTGTAAAAATAGAGCGGTCGCTATTAATACACGTATGAGATCTCGTGTACGCAGCCTCAAAACTATTTACTTTAATTTATTAAAAAAAATTAATTTATCGCTGTTACATATTTAAAATTATCTGGTTAAGAAAAAAACAATTTAACAATTTTAACAGACAATTTTAATTATCAAAGCAATTTTCGATCAGTGTGCGAGTCACGATGTACAAAATATATTTTTAAACGCAAATCATTGCATTATTACATAACAATTCGAACTGAATTCAATTTGAAAATTTATATCGAACGTATTTACACTGAAACCGAAAAACGTTTTTGCTAGTTTGACAATATATGGTCGAAATTTGTAACTTTTTTTTACTTTTAATTATCTGTTCCTCTGAAAAAAGCGATTCACAACGAATAAAAGTGATTAGTTCTTAACTTTCTCTTTCTTTGTATATATATATATATATACACACACACATATATTTATGGAAAAAGCGGTGCAAACGTAGCGTGACAAAAGTGCGTATTTCGGTTTTGCTTTTTAACAATTCGAGGCGTCATGCGAATTGCTTTAATACGAAAGCGTGTACCACACTTAATGACCATTGTTCTCTCAATTACGCGGGTGAAAAGAGGGGAATCGTGACAAAGCAATTTCGCTTTCCAGATGTTTTAGCGGCGGAACAATTTGTATTCAACATTTATCAAACTGCAATAAGCTCGTTATTTATATCAACGTTATTTAATTCTGTTATTAAATTCTGTCCAAATCCCAGTATTTTGTAAAATTTAATGTAAATATTTTTGTCTGATAAATGCGTGTGCAATTAAAATCGAACGCGGAATCGGGATACGTAGAAATACACGTGCAGGGATTTACATCGATACGTCGATCGATAGTCTCGGTTCGTTCGACGTTACCTCGACCAGAAGATTTTCGCCGATGTAACAGTACAGATACAGTTGCAGCATTATGTAAGTTACGTAAACAAACAGGAAAACGAGTTGAAAGACGAAGAGTTCTTCGTTAGCTTCGGCCATTATTGACTAAAAAAACAACGAACAACAGCTGACGACAGTTCGAAATTCAATTTTTGTTTTTATTATTCTTATCTTCCTTTTCTGTGTCAAGAGGCTCACCATAAACGCCTGCAAACACTGGAAACAGAGTTGCAACGAACAGCCCAGCATTTGCATCAGCAGCATCACGTTGAAAGAGTTTTCGATCGTTTCTGCAAATCTTACGGAAAACGTCACTGTGAAGAGAAACGTTCTTTACATAAATCCCAGTTTTGTTTTTTTTTCAACAAAAACAAACGACGTTTCTTGATCATTATCAGAAGAAGCATTCATTTTATTCGCTTACTACGTGCGTCGCGACGAGACTTTTCAAGCGGATTCGAGTGAGAAATAGAAAAAAAAAAATAGAGGATATCGCGAGAAAAAATGAAAAACTTGTAGATTTATGAGATAAGATCCCAATGGGGCCGGACATTTAGTAAAGAAACAATTATTAGATTGTAAATATTGAACATAACAATTTTTTTAAATATTTTTTAAATCATGTTTTTTCTATATTAGTTTCTAACTTTATTTTTTTACATACAAATACTTTGCTGCGATTTATTTAAATAAATGTCCGAGCAGTAGCACATGTTGGGTCACCAGGACAAGTGCGTGTTACCTCGCAATAATCTTCTATTTCTCTTGTAACTTTTTTATTTCGTATAATATTTTCGCTGATCTAACCTGTTGATATACTCGTGCTTTCTCGCGATATTTCTCAACTTCGCCTGAAACTCCGCTCGCGAAGAAGCGCGCAGATTCGTCAGCTCGCGGCGCAGATTCGCGAGCTGGCCGCACGTGTGAAGCACCAGGGTGGCGATGAAGGTGTCCACCGCCGTGTAGGCGGTCGCCGCGTATATTGTGGCCATGAATTGTCCCACGATGGTCAACTCGTAAAAAGGACTGTTGGTCTCGTTGTAAGGAAAGTATGCGCGGAACAGCGTCTGCCGGCCGGTGCTGCGTATCGTGTAGCATCGAAACGCGACGTACAACATCACCACCAACTGCACCAATATGGTGCTTCTTATGGACAGATTCCTGGTGATCTTCGCTATGTTCAGCATAACGCTGCGATTCCGTTTGTCCGCGACCGTCCGCCAGTCCCTTGTCACGCACAACATGAGTGTCTTCATGTCTTTAATTAAGTCAAAAAAAAAAAAAAAAAAAACGAATATATCAACAAAACTCAAGACACTAATTTCGGACTTTATCTGACTTTAGATTTCTAGAGTTTTAAATAAATTTAGAGATTTAAATAGATTTCTAGAGTTTTAATAAATTAAGAGTAATTTAGAAAAAGTTTTTAATAATTGCTAGTGTTATCTTATAATCGTAGACGCGCGAGAAGATACTCTCCGGGAGGATACGACACATTTTTTCGTTGTAGATACTTATGTTTAACAAAGTTGTTGAAAACAAACAAAACATGAAGATTGTACAATGCGTGAAACAAAAAATTGTTATATCGTATATATTTACGTGCACCGTTAAACCAAAACGCAACGATCTTCAACAGCGAAATTGTAATCGTTACGTTTCCCATGGATAGATTTTCCACCACCAGATCAAAGTCACCCCAGATAAACGCCAAATTGACGGACTGCGGTACGCATACGAAGCAAAGCATCGTCAGAATCGGAAAGATCACTTTGTAACTCGAGACACGACTGAAGTTTTTCTTCTCTTCCGGCCAAATGCCCATAAACGTCATAGTGTAACAATTCCATCCGTACAAGAGTTTCGAGTCTGCCTTTTTAAGCGAACAGAACGAACAATATTTTTTTTTTTTTTTTGGAAATTCTGCAGTTCGATTATTTATTCGACTGTGTGTGTGTGTGTGTGTGTGTATATGTAATTTGTTGCTAAACATTACATAGAAAAATACCGACTTAAAAGAAATAAAAAAAGTACATCGAGAAATGATGTGCGTTTGAGAGAAAGTTGATGCGATCGCGGAACGATCTTCAGTTTTTAATTTAATATTTTACATTTTTAATCGATTTAACGCGAGTTGTTTGAACAATTTTATGAAATATGTGTGTACAAAGTGTTTAGATTTGAAGAAAATTTGAAACTTTTTAAAAAACGGACCTGTCGGTCGACATCCATTGAAGCATTCGCGACAACAACGTTAAAGTAACTGAACGGACAATTCCATCTTCGAGCGCGGGCGAGTCTTCGTGACGCATGCTCTTCGACAATTGTATTGATAGTGTTTGTTTTTTTTCTTTTTTTTCAAAATTTTTTCCACGCGCGCAAAATGATCTCGCGTTAATAGCGACGATATTAAATTTTGAACAAAAATAAATAAAGCGATATTTTATATTTATAGGTCGTAAATTTTATCGCGAAAAAAAAATTGATAAAGAAGAAACACGCTGGCGCGTTGCGTTCACTTCTACAAGACGAAGGTTCCATCTGTCGCAGAAGTTCGCAAACGCGCAAGCGGCGATAACTCTTATGATCATTATTGTGTTTATGTTATTACGTTCGTAAAAAATCGACCGATAGACGGTAAACATAATATTCGTTAATACATAACGAGCTGCTGTTTATTTTGCAAGAATGCACATCAATAAGTAAATATAATTAGCGTTTTATGCGCAATGGATGTAGTTGGTTTTAATTTCAATTACTACCTCTTTGTATATTATTGCTTTTCTCACTCTTTACCGGTCATAGCTAGCAATACCGATAAATAACTGGCAGACGCTTTTAAGATCTGAAAGGAAAATTGATTTGATTTGTCGAAAAATTGATAAGAAAATAACAAATTATCTCTGTAAGTGTAAGATTTTCTTTGTGAAATAATGTGTGCGTAATTGTTCGTGTGTGTGTGTGTGTGTGTGTGTGTGTGTGTGTGTGTGTGTGTGTGTGTGTGTGTGTGTACCACTTACAGTACCAAACAATTCCAACGAGAACGGGCTGAACTTTCCTGCCGTTATTTTAAACGGTACGTTTGATCGCATCATTATAATAATCAAAGATATCGCTTTTCTCGAAGACAAGTCGTACCATTCGGAATCGTAAGCGGATTGCGCCACGCCTGTACTCTGCGCAACAAAATTATTAAAGATTACAAAGATTATTCACTATTAGATATGCAAAATTATTAACAAAAGAAACGATTTTTTATAAGTGTTTCCAGAAAAGTAATTTTCGAAAGGTCAATGACCTTTAAAAAAAGGTCAATGACCTCTAACGAAAGGTCAATAACCTCTAACGAAAGGTCAATGACCCAAAGTACAGTCACGCGTGTTGTTTTTCCACTCTTTCCTCTCACTATTTTTTTGATTTTGATTTTCATGGATTATTTCTGGCATCTCTCTAACGTGTTATATGATTTGTAAGACGTATATATTAGCTGTTATCGCGATGACAGGTTGTGTTCACTGACACAACACTATTTATTAAAATAAAAACAATAATAGCGCGCGCGTACCGCGCGTCTGTGTTGTGCTAGTTGTAATTCAAAATACGAAGAAGCATATTTGTTACATATTTACCTCAGTGAGAAGCTGCTCGCCAACGTAACAATAAATAAAAAGATGCAACATCGTGTATATTACGTGTATAATGAAGAACACCAAGCCAACAAGCGGCAGCTCTGCTTGGTCCTGATCCATCGACTGTAATAAAATTTCACACTTTTAACACGCGTATCTTTAATCAACATAATACGTTCTATTTTAGTTTTGTTTATTGTCTTCGGAGACTTTTATTTAGATGCACGTATACGTAAGGATATTTGTCCGATATTCAAAGTCAATTTTGCGACGCTCACCGTAATCATGCGATATCCGGTCAGGCAAAACATCGCGGTGGAGATCATTGTTTGTCCGAGCAAGGTGAAGGTGAAGCAATTCTCGATCATGATGGCGAATCTGAAAATAAAACGAATCTGACGAACTTGCGAACACATTTTAAGACTTTGAATTTTGAATTGTTTCAAAATCGCGATCGTACGGACTTTTCTTTAAAAACAAAATCAAAATATTGAAATTTATATCCAAAGTCCCTAAATTACCTCAGGGACCTACACATTTTGTACAGAATGTATTTCGGTTTGGCTGAGGACGAATTAAATTGACCGAACGTTCTCAATATAACAAGTGAAAGTTTTTTCATCTTCTACTTTTTACATCTTCACACGCGCGGCAACGAGTGTTAGCTCTCTAGATTAATTTTGATTTTAATTTTGAAATTTGAAGCTTTTATTTTATTTACTAATTGCGAAATTATAAATTTTCAAGCTTGACGATTGAAGAAAGCATCGACATCGCGAGACGCCGTGAGAAAGCCAACCTGGAAAGCTCCTCGTGTCTGTGGACGATGAAGCCCAATCTCTTCTCGTACTTGAGAAAGTTGTTGCTCCGCGTAACGTCCACGAGATTTCTCAAGTGCGTTCGGAGCACCGTCAGCTGACCGCAGAGATGCAACACCAACACCGCCAGAAATGTATCGAAGGTCGAGTAACAGATAGCCGTGAGGACCGTTCCCAAGAGCTGGCCGATCCACGTGATCTGATAATTGGGACTCTTTTTGGTGTCGTACGGGAAGATGGCCGGATGCAAAAGACCCCCGAGATCGGTTTCCGACGTGTTCTGCATGTTGCTCCAGACCTGGAGCGCGATAAAGGCCGTGAGCATCGCGTACGTGAGAGTGGAACACACGATGGATATCAAACGGCTCAACCTGGCGTTCTTCAGCATCGTCCGTCTGTCCACTTCCGGTATCGGTTCCGTCCAGTCGTGCAATATTTGACCGACCAGTAGCTTCAGAACTATTTTTAAAATAACGTTTTTTTTGTTATATATAAATCGTAATGTTATATATAACTATTATAAATAAATAACTATATAAATTTTGTTACATATAAATGAGTTTCTTTAAAAACTGCGTTTCAATTTATGTACACTTTTTGAAGTTACGAGCGCATGAAATTGCGGCAATTAATTTCTTCAATTAAAATCGAGAGCGATCGACTCTCTCTCTATTATATTTGGGTTAATAATCAACAGACGCGTAATTGGAGCTTTTGTAAGAGATCAGATTTAGAATTATTTTGTTTTACGTTACGAGTTTAATCATTAACGTGTAAAATATTATTAATTAATTACTCATTAAAGCGCGAAGCGTAATTAAATTTAAATACCTCTTCCGTGATAGCGTAACACCACCTGTTTGATCACCGTGAAAGCTATCGGCACGTAGATCGACAAATTCTCGACTATCTCGTCGAGAGTCGTCGACTTGACGATCAAAAGCACAGTTTGTGGCAAACATATGAACAAAACTGTAACGACGGTTGACGACCAGAACACACAGCTCGAAACGCATCGTTTCAACTTCGAAGTCTTCGTCGGTTCGGGCCAGACGCCCAAAATTGTCAGATTAAATCTGTTCCAGCCCATCGCAAATTCCATCAGTCACACAGAAAGCAAAAATATCTCGTGTGATTAACAAAAAAAAAATAAATAAATAAATTCTAATCCTCACACGATTTATTTAAATTCGATTGATATCAACAGAAAGAAATATGTTATTGTTTTGCTAATCAATTTTCGGTATTTTAACAAATGTCAAACGCAAAAACTACGCGATAGAAAAAAAAAAAAACAAAATATCCGCGGTTTCTTCACAAAATTGCAGATCAAAATGTTTTAAATATTTATATTTAAATATTTATTTATTTGTTTTTTAATCTGATTCGAGAGAGAGAGAACGCTTGAAGTCTACCGAAGAGAGACCTTGGATCACGCGCTTGCGCGCTTTGTGATCGCAACAACGCGCACTATAGACAGCTGCAATTTTTTTTTCAGATGGTTTCGCAACTTCACGGTTTCGACAACTGATCGCTTTTTTCGGGATATACCCGAAAGGATTGCTCATTACGCATGCTCGCCGACAGAATGAGCGGTGAAAAATTGATCGCGAAGAAGAAGAAGTAGAAGAAGTAGAAGAAGTTTTAATCGTCCGATTATTACCGAGAGAATAATTCATAAGCACACGTAGACGCAAAACGCAAAAAGAGGGTCCTCGCCTCAGTATTTTGCAAATTTGCATATGACGAGCGTTCTGCGGCAAAATGTTCAAAAACAAATCAATGAAAATTATCTTGCACTGTGCACTTTTACTCGCAACACGCATTGGAACGATTACATTACGTATCGGGGGGCGTACATGAGAGAAAAAAATTAAATTCGACATCACTGTTACGATAAACAATTACGAGAAGCAGTTGAACAACAAGAATCATATGGCAGATCTCTCAGCTGTCGCGTCGCAGATGTTATTATACTTTCAATCAGTCGCGGTAAGTTTGAGGTTTTTTTTAGTGACTCCCGGACTCTGACGAATCTGCGATTGTCTGAGTATATATTTCACGTTATATTGTCAATTTCAAGTTTCAAACCTCGGTTTCAGTTGGATCTCTATGGTTTTGGATCCAATGAATCCGTCGTGCTGGTTATTACGGTGTACATAGCTGATAATTTGCGCGATACTTATTAAAGACCCAATAAAGTTCGCCTTTCATCAGATACATGCGGCATGCGGTCTCTGTAAACGACAAAAGGAGTATTGGCTTGGAAAAAAAAAAAATAATCCTAAAATTGGGAACTTCCAGTCTATTTGCAGTCCTTGCACTAAAGTCGCGAGAGTGGCCGGTAGATGTCGAGAGATAATCTAGTGAAGTTTTCATGATCTGTAACAAAGTGAAGGAAGTGTGTCTTTGTGAAAACTTAAATTATATATATAAAATTCATGTTGTATTTCTGAAGATAATTTTCGGATTTAAACCGCGTTGGTGTTATTTTTTTTATGTCGACTTTCCAGTTCGCTTCAAAAGCAGATCGAAAATTACATCTTCAGAAAATTCTTAAACACATCGCGAAAAAATCAAATATCAGATTGACAATGTATTGTATTGCGCCTACCTTGCTGAACATTTGCAAAGATAATATATCTCGATCTTACCAGCAGTTAAGCAAAAGTCATATCGTCAAAATCTGCGCGCAATATAAACAGAAGTTTTCTCACTTTCTTTCCGGATACCGATTAAACCAATTTTGATTTTTTTTTCGTACGCTGAAAATCCCATCTCGCTGGTCTTAAACAGTTATAATATTGTAATATAATACGTTCGATTTACAATAACATTATTAATTATTATTAAGTATTATTTTTTTATCTACACAACATTTCGTCGACGTAACGATAAATAAAAAATGCATCAGGATAAAACTTTGCTAAAGAAACAATAACTGAAAAGTTATCAGCGACTCCTTTTTAGTTATTTTTGTTGATCAGTATCTGAAAGCGATTTTCCTCTTTGTTACATTCTTGCACCGATCAAATAGTTTACATTACACAAATGAAATATAGCGCGTGAATGTGTATTTTTTACTCACTCTAATAACTTGAATACCGTGGCAAGCACAATTAACGCTGGAAAAAACATCCACATCAAAAACACCGCGTTGAAAGGATTCTTGTTTTGGCGAATCTTGAAAATGACAATTCTCTTGGGCCTCTACATTTACACATGTAAAAGATAACACATTGTCAATATTTTTTAACAAATACGTTCTAATGACCGGATACATTTATTGAAGAAATAATGACAACAGCGTATTATTTATACAATGTTGACAGAGTGATGATATCTTTCCCGTTGTTTTTCTCTTCACATTTTCCGACGCGAAAAGTACTGCCATCCCACGTAAAAAAGACACAGCAACGTCCCGGGAGAGAAAAGTGCTACTTCGAATAATTGCACAGGTTTCTCCGAATATAGTAAACACTTCGTTTTCTCACCGGTGTCAGACAACTTTTTTTTTTTTTTTTAACTTCGTACAATATATTTATCTAAATCGTATACTATATTTCTATATCGCCATCTTTATGTAAAAACAATTATATGTATGAGACTTGCTGAGCAAACATGTATATATTGTTCACAGAGAATTCGTATTATAAATAATATTATAAATAGTATACGTACACAAAATCTATCCAGTTATTCGAACGAATCACTTATTGTGAAATTAGTTGGGGAGGCAACATTCCATCACGTTACTCTATACCTTTCATTGTCAACAATGTGGACAAATATCCCATTGACGTTTTTATTGACTGGACATAGAAAATAATATGTCACATTTATATAAAAAAAAACATTCATTAAATTACACACAATATAAAATATATACGATATATAAAATATTGAGTTGTGGTCGGAGAAAGTCTTTTCGTATTTCAATACGAATTTTAATACCAAAAATACAAAAAGACTTTCTGACCCACGCAATGCGCGTGTACAATACGAGCAAGGTTTTACACAAAAATGTGTTACACAGAACAGATAAATAAATGTGTGTACTTTGCAAATAAATTCGTCACTCTCTTAGACGTCTTACATTTCCGAACATCTCGATTGAAAACGTTCCGAATTTTCCGGCCGTCAATTTTAACGGATTTGCGGAGCGATGCACGATGAACATTAAATCTCTCGCGTCCTTTGACGACAACTCGTACCATTTGCACTGATACACGCCGTAAGCGATGCCGGTGCTCTGAGAACAGCGGTTTAATTCGCGCACGCATAACAGCCGTAATCTCGCATCGTAATGTAACACATTGTATATTTCATTGCGCGCGTTAATTTATGTTTTTACCTCCTGCAAAAGTCTCTCGGATGAATAGCAGTAAATGTACAAATGCGTTACCACCATGACGACGTACAATGAGAGAAAAAATAGTTTTTCAGGAGGCACTTCCAAATGTTCCGTTATTATCTGAAAAATAATATATACGTTTATTATAATTCACTGTTTTTGTGTATATGCAGTATATATTGCAACATGGTGCGTGTATATACTCACGATGTAAACTCGAAAGGCTTGAAAGCACAATTGAAACGTAAGAGTTATCGTGTGCACGAACAACACCGCACTGTAGCAGTTGTCGATTGTTCTTGCGTTGCTTGAAAATATTATTTTTTTACGTATGTATTTACGTGTTATCATTATTATTAATAATTACAACACGTAATAATAATAATTATTAGATATATAATAGTAATTAAATTAATAAGATTAGATTACTAATTAATTAATAATGATTATGTAGAGTATTGATTTTTTTTATTATCTTTTTGTTACATGCGTATTGTTATTTTTTTGCTTGTTACACTTGACAAAGATTTTGTAATCTATGTACACACACACACACAGATCTGCGCAAAACATTATTATTTGTATTATATTTTATTATTATTATTATTATTATATATTTTACACACCGTTACGGATGTGCTCGGACATACCTGATGAGATGCTCGTGGCGCATAATAATCGCGCCTAAATTTTTCTGAAACATCAAAGACGACATGGATTTGTCGGCCACTTCTTTGACTAGATCGTTCAGTGTTGTTCGTAGATTTATCAGCTGCGAACAGACGTGCAGCACGAGCGTTGAGACGAAGCTGTCGACGGTGCAGTTGATAAAGGCCGCGTATATACCGCTGCACATTTGAGTAAAATACGTAATCTCGTAACCCGGACTCTTTTGCACGTAAGGATACGGAAACGGACCGTAGACAATGGGCCGTTGAAGCTGGTGCACGTGTTGTAAGAACGTGTTGAGGTGAAAATAAATGTAAAACACAGCCGTCACGAATGTGGTGAAGAAACATTGAAACGACAAACTTCTGCTTTTTCTTACGATCTTCAACATCGTACATCGTTTCTCGTTGCTCTTCGTGCTAATCCAGTCGGTCATGATCGATTTCATCAGCGTTCGGAGTGCTTGATGGATAATCAACAGTTTATTAATATAAAAACACAACCCAATGATGTCTTAAAATAAATAAAGTAAATGGTATCCCCTTGATCACGGGGATACCATTAACTTTATTTATTTTAATTATTATTTATTTATTAATTTTAATTTAACGCGACACCAACAGCCAGACGTTTGCTACCAGAAATATGTAAACTAATGCTCTCGCTATTTCGGCGAAAAATATTTTTGTGCGCGCATAGAAAATTATATTACTACTTGCTCATAACAGTTTTCTGTTAATAATTATTTTTTAAAATATTTTTTTAATAATCGTCCGGTCGTTGGGACATCTGTCTTATCAAAGAGATTGCAGAGATTTGAAGAAGAGATATATAGTATGTACAATATTATCTCTTCATTCTTTCAATTTCAATTGTGTTCTACTTTTTATTATTTTAGATATTTGCTTCTTAATATTTAAAAAAAAAAAAAAAAAAAAGAAACGATTACTCTTTACTTTATGTTCCGTTGCTTAATAACGTACTTTCACCGTGATACCAGGTGGCCATCAGCTTGCACACCGCTATCAAACTATAATTCGCGGAGGCGACGTACTCCACTATCAGAGCCACGTTGCCCCAAGCGCGAATCATGTTCGTCAATTGCGGCACGATCACATAGAAACTCACGATACATGTGACGATTATAAACCTGATGCTGGAACAGCGCAAATCACTCACGGGAACACGCGGATCGGGCCATGCGCCCAATAATCGCAAGCATTGGCGACTGAGAGCGAACGCGTAACTCAGATCTAAAATGCAATTTTCAATCGTAAAAGAAGAATTATTGCTTTTTCATCTGTTTTACTCGCGCGAAGTAGACGGAAAGCGCAACTGTTTTTTTTTTTGTTTTTAGTTTCTCAGATTAGCAAAGGTTTCAGTAACTTTGTTAACACGGGAAAGTAAATCGAAAAAGGATTGTGCAACTCTCAATCAAATTTACATTGCGTACACTTCGTTCAACTTTGCCGCTCGCAAAAAAACTTCACAGTTCATTCGTACGTCGTGAGAGAAATTTTTTTGCTTAACTTTTTTAAAGTTGAGTTTGACAAACTCCCGCAAACTTTGTTCCCTACTCGCGAACGGTCTATAAACTGTTCGGTAAAAAAAAAATGTACGCGATTTTGTACTTTCGCGACTAACAATTCTCGAGGAGAGCGAGTTTTCCAGCAAGCGATTATCCGTTAAATAAACACTGTTTTTTACAATAACAAAAAAGCCTAACATTATATTTGTAACAATATTCGCGATTTAATTTTTTTTTTTCACAGCGTTCGAATCGATCGACAAAAATTTGTAACTGTCAAATTTTCTGTTTCGCTTTACGATACAATGATAATGCTGATTCAAACGAAACTTTTTCGTCGTTTATATTACGATTTTCTCTCTCTCGAGACCTTAAATGTTTCCTTTACCTTTGTTGGCGCTCATTGAAGTACGCGGGACGAAAATTATCGATCAACTGAGATACTTGCCGGTTTGATTGCAACAAACCTACTGCGATTTCGCGCGTGCTCCGCGTGCACGGAAGAGTTCGACCCTTCACCCCATCGTTCGTCTGTTATAGTTTCCGAACCGCTTCAAACATTAAATAGACACCGATAGGAATAACACGGTATAATAACACGCGTAATTGCAACGAATCACGGATATTCTCCGAGCGTGTCTCCCGACTATCAGCAGGTTGCTTGCCCTGGAATATTGCATTGCGCTTTGAATAAAACACCTGTGGCGGACGTTTCGAACGCGATTAATCGATTTTTATTCGTCATAAAAATGTAATTAAAAATGACATCCTCAACTTTTAGTGACATCGTTGAGTAGAGACGAGTGAAATATTTGATTCGTTGCGCAGAATTATATATTGTATACAATAAAACTTATGCTACAATTAGTGCGTACATATATATATATATATATATATGTATAAACCTCTCTATCCATTTGTTCGAACCACATGCAAAAGAAGTTGGTATCGAACGTTTGTCCCCCGCTCATGTCACTTCTAATCTTTCATCGTCAGCAATGCAGATAAGTATCCCATTGACGTTTTCAATGTCTAAACACAGTAAAAGTTAATGATAAAAAAACCATGGGAGTCACACGTGCGTATCTACGATTACATAAACGAATTATATACATATATATACAATTACGTAAAACTAAATATATAATATAATTTAAAAAAAAATATACAATATAAATATGTAATATAATAAATATATAACAAAATGTGTTAATGTCCAAAGTAAAAAAGATACACGGAAACTAGAGTATAACGCGAGAGAAAAACGATATTCCTTCTCCTGAATATCTTACTGTTCCGAACATTTCAATTGAAAACGTTCCGAACTTTCCGGCCGTCAGTTTAAGCGGATTCGCGGAACGATACACGATGAACATCAAGTCCTTTGCGTTTTTCGACGGCAAATCGTACCACTTGCACTCGTACACGCCGTACGCCATGCCGGTGCTCTGAAAATAATGACGGTTTTTAATTTTTTGCGCGTTTCACATCGTTTCGCGTCGTTTGTGCGTTTTTTTACCTCCTTTAAGAGCCTCTCGGTTGAGTAGCAATAAATGTACATGTTCATTAACACAACCACGGCGTAAAACGAGAGGAAAGCTAGTTTAAATATCGACACGTCCGAACGCTCCGTTATTATCTGAAAATAATAACGTTGTTTATATAATTTAACAGCGCGTTTAAGTCTGTGTATTTTTTATTCTTTCCATTAAAATATATGATAAATTTAATTTAATCAATAAACCAACTCGTGACTCGTGATTTCAAAATAATATTAGGCCAATGCGAGTCACATTAGAAGATATTATAGTACAAAAAGCTTTTTCTTTATTAAAGAACTCTCTAAAATGAGCCCTTAAGATCCGACTTTAAGATCAAAAAGCGGTTTTTAGAGTTTTTTAATAAAAGAGAGTTTTTTGCATTACTATTCTTTGATGTAGCTCGCATTATTTTGAATTTTCATAACGTATAAAAATGTAATATTTGTTTTAGGATTATTTATTAATTATTACTTGCCGTGTAAACTTGAAAGGTTTGAAAACACAGTTGAAAAGTAAGAGCCAGCATGTGCAAGAGTAACACGTCGCTGTAGCACTTGTCAATTGTCTTTGCGTTCCTTAAATATTTTTATAATATATTTATACGTTATAGATTATCAAATAAATATATATAGAATTTATTGCTACAATTTTTTGATGTTTATGTTTTAAAGTGACTTATGTTTTATAAAGTAATAGTATCGCACAAACGCGTTGAGATCTAATTGTTTATAAATATTTTGCACTTTACAATCAAGACACGCCGATAATTATCTGACAAACCTGATGAGACGTTCGTGGCGCGTAGCGATAGCGATCAAGCTTTCCTTGAATGACGAAGAAGATGCAGATTTGTCGGCCGCTTGGTCCACCAAATGGTTGAGCTTTAATCGTAGAATTTTCAGTTGTGCGCATACGTGAAGCACGAGTATCGAAACGAAGCTGTCGACGGTGCAGTTAATGAGAGCCGTGTACGCACCGCCTGAGAGCTGAATAAAAAAGGTGAGTTCGTAATTCGGACTCTTCTGAANGTTGTAGGGATAAGGAAACCAATAGACGATAGGTCGTTGCGGCTTGTGCATGCTTCGATAGAACTTGAGAAGATTGAGACACATGTAAGATCCAACCGCGCCCACCGCCATTATGTAACATTTAAAGGACAAACTTCTGCCGCGTCTCGCGATTTTCAACATTATATCTCGTTCCCAGNTGTTCTTCGCAGTCATCCAATCCTCCGTGACCGATATCATCAGCGTTCGAAGTGCTTGGAAATTGAACAAAAGAGATATCGATAAATTTACATGAATTTTCGAGTAAGTTTAAATAACGTTAGATAACACATTAATTTGAAGAAAACAAAAACCTAGTTTTTCTGACGTGTTTTTTCTCGACAACTTACTTTCGCTGTGCAACAAGGTGATCACCAGTTTGCAATTTGCCATCAAGCTGAAATTCGCGGAGGCAATGTGTTGCACCATCAAAGTCACGTTACCCCACGCGCGGATCATGTTCGTCAATTGCGGTATGATCACGTAAAAACTTAAGATGCACAGGACNATCNTGAATCTCAAGCTGGGCCTGCGAAAGTCACTCACGGGAACACGCGGATCGGGCCATACGCCCAACAACCGCAAGCACTGGCGACTGAGAGCAAACGCGTAACTCAAATCTAAAAAAAAATATGATCGCAAAAGAAAGACGTTATTGCCTACATTTTTATTTATCGTTTCACGAAGTGGATGATTTTGTGTTGTACTGTAGAGAACGCGCGTTTTTTTAGGTTTTTTAGGTTCTCAGATTACAGAAAGGTTCCTGGAACTTTGTTAATACGGGAAACCAAAAAAAAAAAAAAAAAGAAAGGATTGCAACTCAAGCAAATTTAAGTTGCGTGTCCAACTTCGCCAATCGAAAAAAACTTAGGAGTTTATTTGCACGTCGAGAGAGAAAATTTTTTGCCAGCCCTTGCGACGTAGTTGAATGTCAACTTCGATGCAAGATAAAGTTTCGGGGAAAGTCTATACATCGCTTGCAACGAGCAATCGTTTTTCTGAAATTTTGCAACTAAAAATTCAGAAAAGAACTTTCTCTTTATCTGATAAACAAACAGCAAATGGACAAATACTGTTTTATCGCGTGTATTTGTTTTTTTTTTGTATTTTTAATAAGTATTATGTTTAAATAAGTATTATGTTTATTTAGCAAAACAATGTATCGCGTATATTATATAAATCACCTTAGAAGATGCCAAAAATAACAGATTGTCGCGGCGAGAACACATTTGTTAATTACCAATTTTTCTATTAAACACACATTGAATGCTTTGCGATAATTAGTAAATTAACTTCTTTCAGAAATATTGTAGAATGTACAATAAGTAGTAATTAAAAGATGAAATTTTAACACACTTCTCTCTTTTTATCGCACTACATGCTCTTTTGTCACTAGTATTTTTTCGTAAACTATTGGATGCACACACTTCTCTAATTCTTTCGTCAGGACATATATTCTACCTTCGTTGACATTCATCGTTCACGAAGCGAGAATTATCGTTTGACTGAAGTGGCTCGCCGCGATTCTACTCAACCGCCGGGATTTCGCGCTTGCTCGGTGTACGCGAAGGGTTTAACCCACCATCATTTGCCAGTGTCCCTAGAAACCCCTTTCGGAAAATAATCGATATGGCCACGAGTGGTAGAATATAATTACCGTGCGTTGCATCCGATATTTTGTGAATATAGCTCGTGTGCTTTTACGGCAAATTGTCCAAGTGATGATGTTTCTTAACAGTTAGCGACATCGTAAGTAGAAACAAATAAAGTGTTCGATTTGCTTTGCAAAAGTATATATTGACAAATAGTGACTTATGATATTTGCGGCATTTTTGGATGAAAAATCGATTTTTATCGGTCATACATTTGTAAGTAAAAATAATATTCTCTAGCAGTATTTAGTGATATGTAAAGAGATGCAAGTAAAATGTGATAAAAGGTGCGCAAGAATGTATATTATATACAATAAACCTTATAACTGTTCATTGCGTATATATAAACTACAATTTACTTAATTGAACACGTCTGTATGCAAAAGCAGTTTGTGTATCAGTTGTTCGCTAATATATCATATTTAACTTATTGACTCATTGTCAGCAATGCAGATAAGTATCCCATTGATGTTTTCACAGTCTAAACATAAGAAAAGTTCCAAATAATAGGTAGTGATCAAAAATATATATGTATTTACATATGACTAATGCGATAAAGAAATTGTACGTAATATAATATCCAGTAAGTATATTATCCAGTTATCTTGCAAAAACTTAGATGAAAACTAAAGTAATACCAAACTAATATATTTCTTCTCCTGAAGATACTTACTGATCCGAACATTTCAATTGAAAACGTTCCGAATTTTCCGGCCGTCAATATTAATGGATTCGCGGAGCGATATACCATGAACATTAAATCCTTCGCGTTTTTTGGCGGCAGATCGTACCATTTGCATTCATACACGGCGTATGCGACACCGATGCTCTGAAAATAACGGTTTGTTTCGCGATAAATGTGATATATTATTACTTCCGTTTTTTCGGCGTGTGTGTGTGCTTGTAATGTAATCCGCAGTGGATAAAACGCGTCGCTCGACAATGTTTTTGGAATGAAAGGATTAGCGGTATACTTGCGTTAATGTACTATGTACATTCACTATTATCGCAGTGTATTTAATTGTTATTAATTTACCTCTACCGAAAGTCTTTCGGCTGAATAGCAATAAATCCACAAATGCATTAGCACGAGGAGAACGTAAGACGTAAGAAAAATAATTTTGATAAAGGGCACATCCAAGTGTTCCGTTATTATCTGAAAAATAAAGTGCGCTTTTATAATACATTGTATTTACGTATGTACATAATATTGTTTCAACATTGCATAATTATTTACCGTAAAAACTCGAAACGTTTGAAAGCACAATAAAAAATTAAATGCCAGCATGTGCACGAACAACATCGCACTGAAGGAGCTGTCAAGTGCCTTCGCGTTCCTTGATCATTTTTGCATAAAGTAATAGTTAAATGTTATACAATTATTATCACTAATTACTTAAATACAAAATATTATCAAAGTTTTATTACTTTTTTGTTATGTGTATATTTTATTTGAGCTTGTAAAATTTAATGATTGCGCGATCTATCCACAAATCTAATAAAACTAGTACTTATACATATTTTACACACTGTTTGTGAGATGTACTTTGACGTACCTGATGACATGCTCGTGGCGAATAATAACCGCGCTTAACTGTTTCCTAAATCTTGAAGACGACATGGATTTGTCGACCACTTCGTCAATCAGATTATGCAGTGTTGTTCGTAAATTTATCAGCTGCGAACAGACGTGCAGCACAAGCGTTGAGACGAAGATGTCGACAGTACAGATGATGAAGGCCGAGCATATACCACCACAAAGTTGAATAAAAAAGGTGATCTCGTAATTCGGACTCTTTTGAACGTTGTAAGGATACGGGATTGGATAGATGATGAATCGTTGAGACTGGTGCAAGAATCGATAAAACTTAGTGAGATTGAATAATATGTAAAGCCCGACCGTTGAAATTCCAAAAACGTAACATCGATATGACAAACTTCTACTACATCTTGCGATCTTCATCATCGTATATCGTTCCAAGTTGCTTGAAGTAATCCAATCGGTCATGACCGATGTTACCAGCATTTGAAGTGCTTGTAGATGAATCACAGTTTTTGGAAACACAATGTAACAATATATAATTACTATCAAAACGAGAATAACAGGTTCTACTAAATATTAAAAATAATTGTCCCAATAATAGAACACGTACATAGACACTGTTACACATTTAGTAAAGCCATGACAATAATAAATATAATACTTATTACAAATTTAAACTGTTTTTAAAATATGTTTAGAATTATTTGTTTTTTAAGCTTCTAAATATAAACTTAGAAATATAATTGGTTATTTAATTACTACTCTAATAATCATCCGGTGATTGATACTTGTGCAGTTATTCGAGCACTTATTTTAGCAAAGAAATTGCAGACTTGAAGGAGACAATATACGGCAAAAATTTTACTTTCAATTTTTTATATATAATTAAAAAAATTAATGTTAAATTTATTATATATTATTTACTTGAAAAAAAACATTACTTTTTACTACGTTTGCTAATAACGTACTTTCACCGTGATACCAAGTGGATACCAATTTGCACAGCGCTATCAAACTAAAATTCATGGCGGCGATGTGCTCCACCATCAGGGCCACGTTACCCCAGGCGCGAAATATATTTGTTATTTGCGGCACGAACACAAAGAAGCTCAAAATACATGTGATGATTATAAATCTCAAGCTAGGACGGCAAAGGTCACTCACGGAAACACGTGGATCGGGCCATATGCCTAATAATCGCAAACAGTGACGACTGAGTGCGAACTCGTAATTCAAATCTAAAAAAATTCAATCGTAATGGAAATATTAGTTGGTTTCTTTGCGCAAAGTAAATGTACACCTTGTGCGGCACAATAGAAAATACACATTGTTTCCTTTTTTGCAGTATAACAAGTTTTCACGATCTTTTTTTACAAAGGAAATAAAAAAAAAATTGCATTGGAAATCAAAGGACTTTAATTTGTATATTTCGAACAATTCTGAACCCTAAAAAAAACTTAACAACTCATATACTAGATAAGAAAATTTTGTTCTAGCTTTTCGAAGTCGTATATAATAAACTACTTCAAACTTTATTCTCTACGTGTTTCTAAATTCTCTAGTAACAATAAAATACTTTTGTATTTTTGCAACTATAATAATTCAGAGAGCTTTCCCATCGTGTAGAAAAAACAAGTGTCTCAGATAAATATAAAGTGTTTTTAAAAAATAAAAACTATAGTGTTTCACCAACAAAATCGCGGTTTAATATTTTTGATAGCGATTAAATCGCTAAAACAGTCGGTAGAAATTACAATCACGTTTTGTGTCATTTTATAATGAACCATAACAATACCGATAGTTTTTTGTTGTATATTGCAATGTTTTGTATTGTGTTTCGAGACTTAGATATACTACCTTTGTTAATGTTCATTGAAGTTCGCGAAGCGAAAATTGTCGTCTGACTGACAATGAGATATTTACTATGACACCGCCCTAAACCCACCGAGATTGCGCGCGTGCTCTGTACGTACTAGATTTTCCTACCATTTGTCAGTTTTCCTAAACCGTCTCAGAGAACAAGAGACTGTCGTACGAGTAACACAACTAATAGAGCGCAGTCATTTGTATTGAATCAGATATTCTACAAACATATTATACTTTTACGACTATCAACGAGTTTGCTCGCTTGATCGGGATATCGTCGTGCTGTGCTTTGCATTGAACACTTAAGTGGCGACTGTTTTGAAAAAATAATCGATTTTTATCTGTCAAAAATTATATTCTCAACATTTACATTCAGTGACATTGTTATGTTGAAGGAACTGAAGTGTGTGGATCGTTACGCAGAAATATATATGTTGCACAATAAGATTTATGTTACAATCAGTGCGTATATGTACACTATTTGAACACATTACATATGAAACAGCAGAAAGGTATTGTTTTATCCTCATACTACCGTCAATCTTTCATTGCCAACAATACCGATAAATAACCCATTGATGTTTTCACAGTCTAAACACAGTAAAAGTTAAAAATAAATAAATAGTAATCAAATATACATATATATATATATATATATATATATATATAAATATAGATATATATATATATGTATGTACATACGACGATTAATATATGATAAAATAATATAAGGTAATATGATATCCAGTACTATAATATCCAGTTTTTTTGCAAACAATTAGATGCAAACTAAAATAATATGAGAATAATATATTTCTTCTTCTGACGATATCTTACTATTCCGAACATTTCAATTGAAAACGTTCCAAATTTTCCGGCCGTCAATATTAATGGATCCGCGGAGCGATATATCATGAACATTAAATCCTTCACGTTTTTTGACGGCAAATCGTACCATTTGCATTCGTACACGCCGTATGCGATACCAGTGCTCTGAAAACACAACGATTTGTTTCGCAATACATGTGATATAGTATTACTCTTTCGCTCTTTCGGCGTGCTTGTACCAAAATGTAATTAACTGTGGATGGAACGCGTCGCTCGACCCTGACACAACTACAAAGTGATTACGACGCAGTTGTTGTTTTTGTAAACTTGCAAACATGTAATATAAAATACATACTATATAAACAATTATGCGTTTTTGTAGGCGTATATGTGCACGTTCTTCAGAGCGAAAAAGTTAATGATATTTTTGCGGTACTGTAAAATATATTAATTATTATCGCAGTGTATTTTATTGTTAATATTTTACCTTTTCCAAAAGTCTTTCGGCTGAATAGCAATAAATCCATAAAAGCATTACCACGAGGAGAACGTAACACGAAAGGAAACATTTTTTGCTAAAAGGCACTTCCAAGTGTTCCGTTATTATCTGAAAAATGTAATGCGCTTTTATAATATATTGTATTAACGAATATATACATAATATTGTTACAACAATGCATAATTATTTACCGTGAAAACTCGAAATGTTTGAAAGCACAGTTGAAAAGTAAGTGACAGCATGTGCACGAACAGCATCGCACTGAAGCAGTTGTCAAGTGCCTTCGCGTTCCTTGATCATTTTTGCATGGAGTAATAGTTAAATGTTAAACAATTATTATCACTAATTACTTAAATACAAAATATTATCGACGTTTTATTACTTTTTTGTAATGTGTGTATTTTATTTGCGCTTGTTAAATCTAAAGATTGCACGATCTATCCACAAATCTAATAAAACTAGTACTTATACATATTTTACACACTGTTTGAGATGTACTTTAACGTACCTGATGATAAGCTCGTGGCGAGTAATAATCGCGCTTAAATTTTTTCTAAATTTTGAAGACGACATGGATTTGTTGGCTATTTCGTCAATCAGATTTTGCAGTGTTGTTCGTAGATTTATCAGCTGCGAACACATGTGCAGCACAAGTGTTGAGACGAAGCTGTCGACGGTGCAGATGATAAAAACCGTGTACACACCAGCACAAAGTTGAATAAAAAAGGTGATCTCGTAATTCGGACTTTTTTGAGCATAGGGATACGGGATTGGATAGACGAAGTGTCGTTGAGGCTGGTGAAAGAATTGATAAAACTTGGTGAGATTGAATACAAAGTAAAACCCAACCGTTCCCGCTCCAAAAAAGTAACATCGATATGATAAACTTCTACTACATCTTGCGATCTTCATCATCGTATATCGTTCCCAGTTGCTTGAAGTAATCCAATCGGTCATGACCGATGTTACCAGCATTTGAAGTGCTTGTAGATGAATCAAAGTTTTTAGAAACACAATGTTACAATATATAATTAATATCAAAACGAAAATGACAGGTGATACTAAATATTAAAAATAATTGTCCCGATAATGGAACACNTACATAGACACTGTTACACATTTAGTAAAGCCATGTCAATAATAAATATAATAACTAGTACACATTTAAACAGTTTTTAAAATATGTTTAGAAGTATGTGTTTTTTAAGCTTCTAAATATAAAATTAGAAATATAATTGGTTATAATTACTACTCTAATAATTCTCCGAGTGATTGATACTTGTGCAGTTATTAAAACACTTATTTTAGCAAAGAAATTGCAGACTTGAAGGAGACAATATACGGTAGAAATTTTAATTTCAATTTTTTATATATTATTTGAAACAGTAATATTAAATTTATTATAAATTATTTAATTGAAAAAAGAGATTACTCTTTACTACGTTTGCTAATAACGTACTTTCACCGTGATACCACGTGACCACCAATTTGCACAGCGCTATCATACTAAAATTCGCAGAGGCGAAGTGCTCCACCATCAGGGCCACGTTACCCCAAGCGCGAATTATATTTGTTACTTGCGGCACGAACACATAGAAGCTCACGATACATGTGATGATTATAAATCTCAAGCTGGGACGGCGAATGTCACTCACGGAAACATGTGGATCGGGCCATATGCCGAATAATCGCAAACACTGGCGACTGAGTGCGAACGCGTAATTCAGATCTAAAACAATTCAATCGTAATGGAAATATTAGTTGCTTTCTTTGCGCAAAGTAAATGTACGCCTTGTGCGGCACAATAGAAAACACACGTTGGTCACTTTTTTGCAGTATAACAAGTTTTCACAATCTTTTTTTACACAGGAAATGAAAAAAAAAAGATTGCATTGGAATCTAAAGGACTTTAATTTGTATACTTCGAGCAACTCTGATCGCTAAAAAGAATTTTAACACCTCATATACTAAATAAGAAAATTTTGTTCTAGCTTTTCGAAGTTGTATATAATAAACTACTTCAAACTTTATTCTCTACGTGTTTCTAAACTGTCTAGTAACAATAAAATACTTTTGTATTTTTGCAATTATAATACTTTAGAAAGCTTTCCCATCATGTAGAAAAAACAATTGTCTTAGGTAGATATAAAGTGTTTTTAAAAAATAAAAAACTATAGTGTTTCACCAACAAAATCGCGGTTTAATATTTTTGACAGCGTTTGAGTCGCTAAGAAAATCGGTAGAAATTACAATCACGTTCTGTATCATTTTATAATGAAACATTAACAATACCGATGGTTTTTTGTTGTATATTGCGATGTTTTGTATTGTGTTTCGAGACTTAGATATATTACCTTTGTTAACATTCATTGAGGTTTGCGAAGCGAAAAGTGTCGTCTGACTGACAATGAGATACTTACCATGACACCGCCCCAAACCCACCGAGATTGCGCGCGTGCTCTGTACGTACTAGATTTTCCTACCATTTGTCAGTTTTCCTAAACCGTCTCAGAGAACAACAGACTGTCGTACGAGTAACACAACTAATAGAGCGCAGTCATTTGTATTGAATCAGATATTCTACGACCATAACATTAAACTTTTCCGACTATCAACGAGTTTGCTCGCTTGATCGGGATATCGTCGTGCTGTGCTTTGCATTGAACACTTAAGTGGCGACTGTTTTGAATAAATAATCGATTTTTATCTGTCAAAAAATTATATTTTTAACATTTACATTCAGTGACATTGTTAAGTTGAAGGAAATGAAGTGTGTGGATCGTTACGCAGAAATATATATGTTGCACAATAAGATTTATGTTACAATCAGTGCGTATATGTACACTATTGAAACACATTACATATGAAACAGCAGTAAGGTATTGTTTTATCCTCATATTACCGTCACTCTTTCATTGCCAACAATACCGATAAATAACCCATTGATGTTTTCACTGTCTAAACACAGTAAAAGTTAAAAATAAATAAATAGTAATCAAATATACATATATATATATATATATATATATATATATATATATATATATATATATATATGTATGTACATACGACGATTAATATATGATAAAATAATATAAGGTAATATGATATCCAGTACTATAATATCCAGTTTTTTTG